GAGGAGAGTCAGCGTCGTCAGGAGGAGAGCAGTCGTCAGGAGGAGAGTCAGCGTCGTCAGGAGGAGAGTCAGCGTCGTCAGGAGAGCGCGTCGTCAGGGAGGAGAGTCAGCGTCGTCAGGAGGAGAGTCAGCATCGTCAGGAGAGTTAGCATAAGTAAATAGTTTAATGAGTCTCTGATGACATTAACGAGATCCAGAGTGCTAATGTGTCTTGTCTGTCTGTCTGTCTGTCTGTCTGTCTGTCTGTCTCTGTTGGCTGTCTGTCTGGCTGTCTGTCTGTTGTCTGTCTGTCTGTGGCTGTCTGTCTCTGTCTGTCTGGCTGTCTGTCTGTCTGTCTCTGTTTGGCTGTCTGTCTGGCTGTCCGTCTGTCTGTTCTGTTTGGCTGTCTGTCTGGCTGTCTGTCTGTCTGTCTGTCTGTCTGGTTGGCTGTCTCTCGTCTGTCTGTCTGTCTGTCTGTCTCTGTCTGGCTGTCTGTCTGTCTGTCTGTTCTGTCCTCTGTCTGTCTGTCTCTGTCTGTCTGTCTGTCTGTCTGTCTGTCTGTCTGTTTGTCTGTCTGTCTCGTCTGTCTGTCTGTTCGTCTGTCTGATAACGGTTTGGTGGAGAAGAGGAGGAGGAGGTGGAGAGCAAGGAGGAGGAGGAGAGGGGGAAGAGGAAGGAGGAGGAGGAGGAGGAGGTGGGAAGAGGGAAGGAGGAGGAGGAGGAGGAGGTGGGGAGAGGAAGGAGGAGGAGGAGGAGGAGGTGGGGAGGAGGGAAGGAGGAAGAGGAGATGGGGAGAGGAAGGAGGAGGAGGTGGGGAGAGGAAGGAGGAGGAGGAGGTGGGAGAGGAAGGAGGAGGGGGAGAGGTGAGCAATCCTTAGTGCTAATGGGTGTCGTGGGAGGAGGGGGAGGGGGAGGAAGAGTTGTGACCTGTAACCTTGACCTGCAACCTTGACCCCTGACCTGTAACTGATATTTGACCTGTCCTGTAACCTTAACCTGACTTGACCTGACCTCTGACCTTTAACATGTAACCTTGAGCCTGTAATATTAATCTATAATCTTGACCTATAACCGTTGACCTCTGACCTTTGACCTGTGACCTATAACTGTTTGACAGAACTTAGGACGTGTAAGACCCTTGTGAGTCTGGGCGTGGACACCAACACGACAGACACAGGCAGACAGACATAATACTGTACACTCGTCCACGTCGCCTTTGTGTTCAGTGGGGCATAACAAGGCTGACCAAAGAAAAGAACCAACCAACACACACACACACACACACACACTCTCCTCTCTCTCTCTCTCTCTCTCTCTCTCTCTCTCTCTCTGTTTACCTGGTGTAGAGTCTCACCTGTAATTAATTGTTATATTTTTATTTATTTATTTATTTTAGTCAGACAGTTTGGTGGATTTTTAATAATAATAATAATAATAATAATAATAATAATAATAATAATAATAATAATAAACGGTTTATTAATAGAGCTGCAACCGGTGGCTGAAAATATACAAACTTACATTTGATTTAGACATAATGATATAATATGCATTGAATACATTTACAGGGCTGTACAGTACATAAATCAGGAGTTGTTTATTATTTTAACAATAGATGGGACTGGTGCTGTTCTTATATCTATCGGTGCGGGCTCTTATGGGCTGAATTTTGTTGTCGTGGCGGACTGCGCAGGTGGGTGGGGGTACTGCAGGTGGCAGTAGGTGGCGATGACGAGGATGGTGCAGTAGTCCTGCCAAACCTTGCTAGTGCTTGGTGGTGGAGGTCACTGAGGATGGCATTTCCAGGGAGGAAAAGCGTTGATTTTTGAGTGTGTGTGTGTGTGTGTTGGTTCTTCCTTCCTTCCTTCCTTCCTTCTTCTTCTTTCTCCTCCTCCTCCTCCTCCTCCTCCTCCTCCTCCTCTCCTCCCTGACCTACTTCTTCCTTCTCCCTCCCCTCATTCTGTGTGTATTATTTTCACTGTTCTTCCCTTCCACCCCTTCCGTCTTCTCTTTTATTACTCTCTCCCTCTTCCTCCTCCTCTTCTTCCCTCTATGATCTTTTCTCCTTCCCCTCTTTCCTTTTTTTCTCTCTCTCTCTCTCTCTCTTTTTTTTTCTCTCTCTCTCTCTCTCTAAGGACGAAGTTTGTCTCATTCCAACTTTGTACTTCTCCCTCCCCCTTTTTTTCTCTTCCTCCTCCTCCTCCTCTCTCATCGTCCTCTTCTTACTCTTTCTCTATGATCTCCTCCTCTTCCGTCTTCTCTATGCTCTTCTCCTTCTGTTCCTTATTCTTCGTCGTATCGTCTTCCTCACCTCCCATCCCTCCCCCTCCCCCACCTCCTCACCCCCTCCCCACCCCCTCCCTCACCCCTCCCTCACCCCCTCCCCATCCCTCCCCACCCCTCCCCCACCCCTCCCCACCCCTCCCCATCATGTGGGAAGAGTGACCTAGAGCACGCCACACCTCTTAAGGCTCACTCTCACCCCTCACTTAACGTGGTAATGTGTACCTTATTGACCTACGGAGGGTTGTTGTTTCTTGCCGCCAGTAGCCTGAGAAAAGGAAGTAGACTTGACGTAGATAAGGTTCATGTGATTGTTGGTGATTGTGGTTGTTGGTGATTGTGGTTGTTGGTGGGTGTGGTTGTTGGTGATTGTGGTTGTTGGTGATTGTGGTTGGTGGGTGTGATTGTGGTTGTTGGTGATTGTGATTGTTGGTGATTGTGGTTGTTGGTGGGTGTGGTGATTGTGGTTGTTGGTGGGTGGTGATTGTGGTTGTTGGTGATTGTGGTTGTTGGTGATTGTGGTTGTTGGTGGGTGTGGTGATTGTTGGTGATTGTGGTTGTTGTTGGTGGGTGGTGATTGTGGTTGTTGGTTATTGTGGTTGTTGGTAGGTGTGGTGATTGTGGTTGTTGGTGATTGTGGTTGTTGGGTGGGTGTGGTGATTGTGGTTGTTGGTGATTGTGGTTGGTGGGTGTGATTGTGATAGTAAGTGTGTTGGTGATTGTGGTAGGTGTGGTTGGTAGGTAATTGTGGTAGGTGCAGTGTAAAACAAACATCAAAAATAGATTAAATTACTCTACTTGTTTATGAAAGAAAGTGTGTGTGTGTGTGTGTGTGTGTGTGCGTGTGTGTGTGTGTGCGTGTGTGTGTGTGCGTGTGCGTGTGTGTGCGTGCGTGTGCGTGTGTGTGTGTGTGTGTGTGTGTGTGTGTGTGCGTGTGTGTGTGTGTGTGTGTGTGTGTGTGTGTGTGCGTGTGTGTGTGTGTGTGTGTAATAATTAACGGTTTATTGAAAAGCTTGGCAGCCAGAAGGCTGAAAATATACAGTTACATATTTGGGGAATGGGTTACAAATTACAAATAATATACAAAGTGACATAGTGACACAAATAAGATATATATGTAACTTAGATGGGGATCAGCTCAAAATACAGTTCATTTCAACATAGTGACAGTGGGGAGCAGTGTTTACTGGGAGTGAATACACTGATTTATTACATGTTATTGATAATTTTACAATGGTTGGGACTGGGCTGTTCTTATAGCGATCAGTTCGTGCACGTATGGGCTGGATGCGGTTGTGGTGTCGAACAGCAATTCTCGGACAGGGATCTCAGGTGGTAGTAGGAGCGGTGTCGGGGATGGTGTAGAAGCTTCTTACCAAATTTGCAGATGAGGCCGTGGTGATGGTCAGTGAGAGTCGAAAGGGTCAGTGTGTTGAGCGCTTCTTGATATGAGTGTGTGCGCGTGCGTGTGTGTGTTAGTAACAAGAATTAAACAGTAAAATATTTATTTCATATTAACATAACTCAATCTATCTATCTATCTATCTATCTATCTATCTATCTATCTATCTATCTATCTATCTATCTATCTATCTATCTATCTATCAATCAATCTATCTATCTATCTCTTGTTGTCTCTAAGTCAATTTATTAGACAACTTTTAAACAAGAGTTAATTATAGTGACTCAGCACATTTAATTAAGGTGTATTTTTTTTATTCCCAGGAGCAGCTTGGTGTATTATTTCAGGGAGGATATATGATCATTTTATTCCTAGGATGGTCTGTGGTCGGTTTTATTCCCAGGATGGTCTGTGGTCGGTTTTATTCCCAGGATGGTCTGTGGTCGGTTTTATTCCCAGGATGGTCTGTGGTCGGTTTTATTCCCAGGATGGTCTGTGGTCGGTTTTATTCAGGATGGTCTGTGGTCGGTTTTATTCCCAGGATGGTCTGTGGTCGGTTTATTCCCAGGATGGTCTGGTCGGTTTTATTCCATGGTGATCTTTGGTTATTTATTCCTAGGTGAATCTTGACATTATTATTATTATTATTATTATTATTATTATTAGTCGTAGTAGTAGTAGTAGTGGTAGTAGTAGTAATATTGTAATAGTAATAACAATACTACTACTACTACTACTACTACTACTACTACTACTACTACTAATAATAATAATAATAATAATAATAATAATAATAATCTACTTGTGACAATACCTTTACTTGAACCTAATTATCTACCTGTACCTGTGTTTTTACCTGTAGTTTCCTGTACATTCGTCAACCTCTGATACACCGCCTACCTGAGTCATCTAGTTAATAAAACAATAATAACAAAGGTGTGTTTGGTGACGTGGATATTATTTTAATTGCTTATATTTTATTAGGTGTTTTAATTTGTTTGATTATTTTTTTTTATTTTCTTTATTTGCTTTTTTACTTTTTTATTTTTATTTTATTTTTTTATTTTTTATTGTACCAAGTCATTCAACAACCATAGACCAGTTAGGTGCTAGAGAGTGCCATAGAGTGCTAGAGAGTGCCATAGTGTGCCATAGAGAGTGCTAGAGAATGCATAGTGTGCCATAGAGTGCTAGAGAGTGCCATAGTGTGCCATAGAGTGCTAGAAGTGCCATAGTGTGCCATAGAGTGCTAGAAGTGCCATAGTGTGCCATAGAGTGCTAGAGTGCCATAGTGTGCCATAGAGTGCTAGAAAGTGCCATAGTGTGCCATAGAGTGCTAGAGAGTGCCATAGTGTGCCATAGAGTGCTGAGAGTGCCATAGTGTGCCATAGAGTGCTAGAAGTGCCATAGTGTGCCATAGAGTGCTAGAGAGTGCCATAGTGTGCCATAGAGTGCTAGAGAGTGCCATAGTGTGCCATAGAGTGCTGAGAGTGCCATAGTGTGCCATAGAGTGCTAGAAGTGCCATAGTGTGCCATAGAGTGCTAGAGAGTGCCATAGTGTGTATAGAGTGCTAGAGTGCCATAGTGTGCCATAAGTGCTAGAGAGTGCCATAGTGTGCCATAGAGGTGCTGAAGTGCCATAGTGTGCCATAAGGTGCTAGAGAGTGCCATAGTGTGCCATAGAGTGCTAGAGAGTGCCATAGTGTGCCATAGAGTGCTAGAAGTGCCATAGTGTGCCATAGAGTTCTAGAAGTGCCATAGTGTGCCATAGAGTGCTAGAGAGTGCCATATAGTACCATAGTGTGCCATAGAGTGCTAGAGAGTGCCATAGTGTGCCATAGAGTGCTAGAGAGTGCCATAGTGTGCCATAGAGTGCTAGAAGTGCCATAGTGTGCCATAGAGTGCTGAGAGTGCCATAGTGTGCCATAGAGTGCTAGAGAGTGCCATAGTGTGCCATAGAGTGCTAGAGAGTGCCATAGTGTGCCATAGAGTGCTGAGAGTGCCATAGTGTGCCATAGAGTGCTAGAGAGTGCCATAGTGTGCCATAGAGTGCTAGAGAGTGCCATAGTGTGCCATAGAGTGCTAGAAGTGCCATAGTGTGTATAGAGTGCTAGAGAGTGCCATAGTGTGCCATAGAGTGCTAGAGAGTGCCATAGTGTGCCATAGAGAGAGAGTGCTAGGAAGTGCCATAGTGTGCCATAGGGTGCTAGAGAGTGCCATAGTGTGCCATAGAGTGCTAGAGAGTGCCATAGTGTGCCATAGAGTGCTAGAAGTGCCATAGTGTGCCTAGAGTGCTAGAGAGTGCCATAGTGTGCCATAGAGTGCTAGAGAGTGCCATATAGTACCATAGTGTGCCATAAGTGCTAGAGAGTGCCATAGTGTGCCATAGAGAGTGCTGAAAGTGCCATAGTGTGCCATAGAGTGCTAGAGAGTGCCATAGTGTGCCATAGAGTGCTAGAGAGTGCCATAGTGTGCCATGAGTGCTAGAGAGTGCTACAGTGTGCCATGGAGTGCTAGAGGTGCCATAGTGTGCCATAGAGTGCTAGAGAGTGCCATAGTGTGCCATAGAGTGCTAGAGAGTGTCAAGTGTGCCATAGAGTACTAGAGAGTGTCATAGTGTGCCATAGAGTGCCATATAGTGCCATAGTGTGCCATATAGTGCCAATCATGCCAGGTATATTATACCTGTTACATTACATAGGTGCCATAGTGGTCTGGCAGTACGGAATTATTTAGCTTTATATTGAAATGTGGGGAGTAGACACCTTAGAGTTAGAGCCTCCGTACCTGGCCTGGTGTGTGTTGCAGGTGTGTTGCAGATATACCTGTATGTGTGTTGCAGGTGTGTTGCAGATATACCTGTATGTGTGTGTGGAGTGTGTGCAGATATACCTGTATGTGTGTGTTGTAGGTGTGTTGCAGATATACCTGTATGTGTGTTGTAGGTGTGTTGCAGATATACCTGTATGTGTGTTGTAGGTGTGTTGCAGATATACCTGTATGTGTGTTGTAGGTGTGTTGCAGATATACCTGTATGTGTGTTGCAGGTGTGTTGCAGATATACCTGTATGTGTGTTGCAGGTGTGTTGCAGATATACCTGTATGTGTGTTGCAGGTGTGTTACTGATGTTTATATACCTGTATGTGTGTCTGGTATGTGCTGCAGATCTCCCAAACTTGCAGGTGTGTGTGTGTGTGTGTGTGTGTGTGTGTGTGTGTGTGTGTGTGTGTGTGTGTGTGTGTGTGTGTTAAATTAACTCTGGTGGCTGGGGAGAAGCAGGTGAGGTGCGGGTTAATTAACATTCATCACCTTTTAGCAATGTTAAGACTGTTTGTTGTGTGTGTGTGTTTTATTTATTGTGTGGGAGTAGTGGTAGTGGTAGTAGTGGTTGTGGTGGTGGTGGTGATGGTAATAGTGGTGGTGGTGGTAGTAGTGGTTATGGTGGTGGTGGTGGTGGTCGTAGTGGAGGCAGGGGTAGTGGTGGGTGGCAGGGTAGTGGTGGTAGGAGGCGGTGGTAGTGGTGGTGGTTTTAGTAGTAGTGATTGTGGTAGTGGTAGTGTGGTTGTGGTGGTGGTGGTGGTGGTGGTGGTAATAGTGGTGATGGTGTGTAGTAGTGGTGATGGTGGTGGTAGTAGTGGTTGTGTGGTGGTGGTGGTGGTGGTGGTGGTAGGAGGCAGGGTAGGTGCAAACCGCTGCAGAGGTAGTGGTAGTGGTAGTAGTGGTTGTGGTGGTGGTGGTGGTAATAGTGGTGATGGTGGTGGTAGTAGTGGTGTGGGTGGTGGTGGTTGTGGTGGTGGTGGTGGTGGTAGGAGCAGTGGTGGTGGTGCAAACCCTGCAGAGGTAGTGGTGGTGGTAGTAGTGGTGGTGGTGGTAGTGGAGGCAGGGTAGTGGCAGTGTGTGTGTGTGTGTGTGTGTGTGTGACTGGGCAGTGCACCACTATTGAACTGCACCATCTGGCTACACTAGCATCGCCACACACGTCTTGGGACACAGACCCTGTGTGTGTGTGGGGTGTGTGTGGGGGTGTGTGTGTGGGGTGTGTGGGGGTGTGTGTGTGTTTCTGGGTGCATGGTGTGTTTGTGTGTGTGTTACCTCTGTCTTTTGTTTAACTTTTATCGCTTCGTAAATCAGATGAGAGAGAGAGAGAGAGAGAGAGGGGGGGGGGGATCTCAAAATATACTCTGATTTGTTTTCTTAACTCACTTTTTTCCAACCAATAACTTTAAAAAAATACAATATTTTTTTCCCTCGTGTTAGTTAGAACTTTTTCTGTATTTCATTATGAAATTTTTTTTCAGCTGTTCGGGTAAAGTTGTGCTCATCATTTGCATAAACTACGAGGGACGGAGGAAGAAATTCATTATCATCTAATTAAAAAAAATGTGTTTGAGAATTTGAATTAGAGAAGGTGTGTGTGTGTGTGTGTGTGTGTGTGTGTGTGTGTGTGTGTGTGTGTGTGTGTGTGTGTGTGTGTGTGTGTGTGTGTGTGTACTTCCTATCATAATCCTACCCTGAAATAATTATATAAACCAAGTAAACACAAATAAACCTTCCTCTTAAACCAAACATATACAAAGATTAACCCAACCCACTCCCACCCCACCCCACCCCACCCCACCCCCAATCCACAACCCCACCCCACCCCACCCCACCCCACCCCACCCCACCCTCCCACACCACCCCCACCCACCCCACCCCACCACCCCACCCCACCCCACACCTAAACACCCAGTATATAAATTCTTCACACCTATAACCAATCATCATTATAATTTACAACTATCAACCCAACCAATAGTTTTAATAAATAACTAAATACATCATTCATCAAAATCTACATAAATTTTTCCATCCCAAACTGTCAACAAAGGATTAAAAAATAAAATAAAAATAATTATATTTTGTTTTATTTCAATCACACCTAACTAGTATATAGGAAATTATTATGAAGTAAAAATAAGCTTGGCCCTACCACTCATGCAGTTGCCGATACGTAAATAATGAAGAGTTAAACCTATTAGGGATAGGGACCCCCAAAAAAAAAATTGTATTTGACGTTGTTGATGTTGGTAATATATTCTGACAGATGTAATTCAGCTGTTCGATGATTGGGGTGCGGGTAATTATGTATAGGGGGGGGTAGGGAGGGGAGGGGGTAGGGAGGGGGAGGGGGTAGGAGGGGGTGTTAGGATAGGGAGTCAGATTTGAAAGAGTGAATGAATTGCTTTGGGGAGGAGGGGAGGAGGAGGGGTGGGGAGGACGATGGGGAGGGGGAAAGGAGGGAATGGGGGGGAGAGTCGAGGGAGAGGTGGAAAGGAGGAGGGGAAGGAGAAGGAAGAAGAGTAAAGGAATGGGAGATTAGAGAGACAGACAGACAGACCAAATGACACACACACGCACACACACACACACACACACACACACACACACACACACACACACACGCGGCAGATATCACTAATAATTACACCTAAGGGTAATTACAAAGTTGAATCCGATCATTGTGGCGAGGCGAGACGAGCAAATAATGGACTTGATCGTGGTAACTCATTGTGGCCCTGTAACTTATTGCGGCCCTGTGGTAACTCATTGTGGCCCTGTGGTAACTCATTGTGGCCCTGTAAATCTATTGTGGCCCTGTGGTAATCTCATTTGTGGCCCTGTAACTCATTGTGGCCCTGTGGTAACTCATTGTGGCCCTGTAACTTATTTTGGCCCTGTGGTAACCATTGTGGCCCTGTAACTTATTTTGCCCTGTGGTAACTCTTTTGGCCCTGTGGTAACTTATTGTGGTCCTGTAATTCATTGTGGTCCTGTAACTCACTGTAGGCCTTTTACTCATTGTGCCTCTGTGGTAACTATTCTGGGTCTGTAACTCATTGTGTCCCTGTAGTAACTCATTGTAGGCCTGCGTGGTAACTCAGTGTGGTCACGTAACTCATTGTGACCCCATGTGGTAACTCATTGTGGGCCCTTGGTAACTTATTGTGATACGTAACTCATTGTGGCCCTGTAACTCATTGTGGCCCGGTGGTAACTCATTGAGGAGCAGTTGAGAAGAGTTAGATAAGGGAAGGGGAGAGAGGGAGGGGGAGCCAATGGAGGAAGAGAAGGGTGGGACGAATAAAGGAGGAGAGAGGAAAGACGAGAGAGAGAGATAAGGGGAAGGAAGGAGAGAGAGAGAGATAAGGGGAAGGGAAGGGTAGGAGAAAGAGGAAGAAGTGGAGGGGAGGAGAGGAAGAAGGGGGGAGGAGGGGGAATCTTCTTAATAAAAAAATAAAAGTTGAGAAGTTCCACAGGTTTGATAAAGTTATGGCTCTCTCTCAAAGTAATGTATTTTATATTGTATTCCATGACCTCATATACTGTATTATTTGTGTATGAATTTTGACGTAGTATATATTGTATTATGTTGTATTTGACTGTATTATACAACTGTGTTCTCTCTTTCAGGTATGGCAGTTAGTGGGTGTGTGACCTCGTTCAACCTTGTTTAATATGTAAGTGTTTGACCTCTTGTGTTGGGGAGTACAGGAACGAAACGCGTAGAGAGAGAGAGAGAGAGAGAGAGAGAGAGAGACCTAAAACGCAGCCCTCACACACACACCACACACACACACACACACACACACACACACACACACAAAAAAACACAACACACACACACACACACACACACACACACACACACACACACACACACACACACACACACACACACACACACACACACACACACACACACACACACACACACACACACACCTTCCATGGCGGACCATATTATGCCTAACAGCCTAACAGTGTCGTTCGGTTTGGATAATTACTTAATACATATGCAAACGGAAGTAGGAACCTGGTGTACCTCGATGCCTGAATTTCTGTGGCACTCCATTCACCCCCCACTCCTCTCCCTCCCCCTATCACCGTTTATAGTGTCAGTGCTCCGGGGTTTGACTGTTGGCACTATGTTAGGGGTTAAGGGTTGTTTGGCACTGTATGTTGTGTGTTGGAGGATTTGATTTTTTTTGGGTGTGGAGGGCAGTTAATGGCTCTGTTGGCTGGTATTGGTGGCACTGTTGTATTGTAACGGGAGTGATTGTTGGCACTGTATTGTATGAGGGGGTGATTGTTGGCACTGTATTGTATGAGGGGTGATTGTTGGCACTGTATTGTATAACGGGAGTGATTGTTGCACTGTATTGTATGAAGGGAGGTGATTGTTGGCACTGTATTGTATGAGGGGGGTGATTGTTGGCACTGTATTGTATGAGGGGGTGATTGTTGGCACTGTATTGTATGAGGGGGGTGATTGTTGGCACTGTATTGTGTAACGGAGTGATTGTTGGCACTGTATTGTATGAAGGAGGTGATTGTTGGCACTGTATTGTATGAGGGGGGTGATTGTTGGCACTGTATTGTATGAGGGGTGATTGTTGGCACTGTATTGTATGACGGGGAGTGATTGTTGGCACTGTATTGTATGAGAAGGGGGGATTGTTGGCACTGTATTGTATATGGGGTATTGTTGCACTGTATTGTATGAGGGGGGGTGATTGTTGGCACTGTATTATGAAGGGGGGGTGATTGTTGCACTGTATTGTATGAAGGGGTGATGTTGGCACTATGGTGGTGGGTGGAGGTGATTGTTGGCACTGTATTGTATGAGGGGGGGTGATTGGCACTGTATTGTGAGGGGGGTGATTGTTGGCACTGTATTGTATGAGGGGGGTGATTGTTGGCACTATTGTATGAGGGGGTGATTGTTGGCACTGTATTGTATGAGGGGGGTGATTGTTGGCACTGTATTGTATGAGGGGTGATTGTTGGCACTGTATTGTATGAAGGGGGGTGATTGTTGGCACTGTATTGTGTGAGGGGTGATTGTTGGCACTGTATTGTATGAGGGGGGTGATTGTTGGCACTGTATTGTGTGAGGGGGGTGATTGTTGGCACTGTATTGTATGAGGGGGGTGATTGTTGGCACTATTGTATGAGGGGGTGATTGTTGGCACTGTATTGTATGAGGGGGGTGATTGTTGGCACTGTATTGTATGAAGGGGGGTGATTGTTGGCACTGTATTGTGTGAGGGGGTGATTGTTGGCACTGTATTGTATGAGGGGGTGATTGTTGGCACTGTATTGTATGAGGAGGGTGATTGTTGGCACTGTATTGTATGAGGCGGGTGATTGTTGGCACTGTATTGTATGAGGGGGTGATTGTTGGCACTATTGTATGAGGAGTGATTGTTGGCACTGTATTGTATGAGGGGGTGATTGTTGGCACTGTATTGTATGAGGAGTGATTGTTGGCACTGTATTGTATGAGGGGGTGATTGTTGGCACTGTATTGTATGAGGGAGGATTGTTGACACCACTAACTGTATGGCACTGTAAAGCTGTATCAGATGAAATAACTATTGGCACTGTAACCTCTATGTATGCAGTGAAATTACCCAATGGCACTGTAAGCTGTATTTCATTATAGAAGTTAATTTGGCACTGTTAACTGTATCCCACCAGCACTGACTGACTGACTCACTGACTTGATTGACTGACTGGACTGACTGACTCACTCACTCACTCACTGGACTGGCTGACTCACTGACTTGATTGACTGACTGACTGACTGACTGGCTGACTCCTCACTCACTCACTCACTCACTCACTCACTGGCTCACACACACACACACAACAAAAACACACACACACACACACACACACACACACACACACACACACATCACTCACTGAACTGACTAACTGACTGACTGGATTGACTGGACTCGATAAATTGTGTCAGGAGTTTGTGAAGCATTTAACTAGTGACGGTTCATAGTGGATTAACGATAAAAAAGTGAGAATAATTTTTTGGGCAACATATTTTCACGACCAGGAGACGGTGGGGGTGTAAAAGTTGATGGTGGTGATGATAGTGGTGATGAGTGGTGATGGTGATGATGATAGTGGTGTGTGGTGATGAATGGTGGTGGTGATGATGAGTGGTGATGGTGTGTTGTGATGATAGTGAGAATAATGATGGTGATTTTTTTTTATTATTATTATTATTATTATTATTATTATTATTATTATTATTATTATTATTATTATTATTTTTCAACTGCTCGTGTGTGTGTGTTGTGTGTGTGTGTGTGTGTGTGTGTGTGTGTGTGTGTGTGTGTGTGTGTGTGTGTGTGTGTGTGGCAATATCTTGTGAACATGAGAAAGAAGATGGGAAGAAGAAGAAGTAAAGGAGGAAGAAGGGACTGGAAGAAACGATGAAGGAAGGAAGGAAGGAGGAAAGGAGACAAGGAGAATGAATGTTGAGGGGAACAGGAAAGAGCTAGGAGGAAGGGAGAGAAGAGGAAATGAGGAAAAAGGAGGAAGATAGAGAGAGAGGGAGAGGGGAAGGAGGAGAGAGAAGAGAGAGAGAGAGAGAGAGAGAGAGAGAGAGAGAGAGAGAGAGAGATAGGTCCTCTGGTTCGTGTAAATGGTTCGTGTAAGAGTGGTTCGTGTTATCGGGGTATAATTTACAAGTTGGGACACTTTAACAGGGTCAGGCGCATTCCATTTTGTAAATAGCTCTGTGAATAGACTGTCAGGGTGATACAACCGCCCCCATGACAGTGTGTGTGTCGTGGGTCATGAGGGTGGGGTGTGAGGTCTCTCTCTCTCTCTCTCTCTCTCTCTAGATCTGTGTATAGTACTGAACGTTTTTCTTCATCTCTGTTTATTCATGGAGATTGTTTTGTTGTTTTGTTTTTGGTGTTTGGAGGGCCTTATGGTGAGATTGTTTTTGTTGTGTTTGGTTTTGGTGTTTGGAGGCCGGTCTTTATGGTAGAGATTTGTTGTTGTGTTTGTTTTTGGGTGTTTGGAGGGCCTTGGTGGTAGAGATTGTTGTTGTTGTGTTTGTTTTTTGGTGTTTGGAGTGGCCTTATGGTAGAGATTGTTGTTGTTGTTGTGTTTGTTTTTGGGTGTTTGGAGGTACTTAAGTAGAGGATTGTTGTTGTGTTGTTTTTGGGTGTTTGGAGGGCTCCATGGTAGAGATTGTTGTTGTTGTGTTTATTTTTGGGTGTTTGGAGTGGCCTTATGGTAGAGATTATTAATATAGGTTTGTTTTTGGGTGTTTGGAGGGCCTTATGGCAGAGATTGTTGTTGTGTTTATTTTTGGTGTTATAATCTCATGGCGAGACTGTCGTCACAGTTCTATTCTCAAAGCGCCTGATGCATCCATGGCAGACTGGCTGTCAGCCTGCGCCTATTCTTTGGTGCTCCGATATCCTCATAAGAGACTGTCGACGCTTGCGTCCTATCTTCTTGGCGCTCCGGGATAAATCCCATAAGAGATCATTGGGTCATCGTGTCTTGGTCTTTCTTAAGGCCTGATAAATCCTAAGAGATCGTCAGTCATTGCGTCTATTCTAAAGGCCCTGGGATAAATCCTGCCATAAGAGACTATTGTCATTCATCTTATTCCCTCAGTGCCCTGATGCATCCCATAAGAGACCCACTGTTGCGTCTATTCCTCAAAGCCCTGATATCTCATAAGAGAGATCATTGACGTCATATTCATCTTCAAAGTCTGACAACCACAGCAGAGACGCCGTCGTCGCGTCTATTCCTGGCGTCTGATGTCCTTGCCAAGAGACCGTTGCTGTTGCGTCTGGTTTCTTCGCGTCTGGGATATCCTTGCTTAAGAGACTGTCGTCATTGCGCTCCATCTTTGCGCCTGAGCATCTTTATGGCAGATTGTTGTTGTTGGTGTTTGTTTTGGGGTGCTTGGATGTCTTTATGCAGCAGAGATTGTTGTTGTTGTGTTTGTTTTGGGTGCTTGATGTGTCTATGGCAGAGATTGTTGTTGTTGTGTTTGTTTTTTGGTGTTTGGGAGGTATCTTTGCGGCAGAGATTGTTGTTGTGTTTGTTTTGGTGTTTGGAGGGTCTTTCAGGCAGAGATTGTTGTTGTTGCGTTTGTTTTTTGGTGCTTGGAGTGTCTTTATGGCAGAGATTGTTGTTGTTGTTTGTTTTAAAGTTTGATGTATCTTTTATGGCAGAAAGATTGTTGTTGTTGTGTTTGTTTTTGGTGCTTCTGGAGGGCCTTACAGCAGAGATTGTTGTTGTTGTGTTTGTTTTGGGTGTTTGGATGGGCCTATGGCAGAGATCGTTGTTGTTGTGTTTGTTTTTTGTGTTTGGAGGTCTTACAGAGATTGTTGTTGTTGTGTTTGTTTTGGTGTTTGGAGGGTCTTTATGGCAGAGATTGTTGATGTTGTTTGTCCCTTGGCCTGATGTCCCCATGGCAGAGACTGCTTCGTCGTTCGTGCCCATCTTCTGCGCCTGACAATCCTACTAAGCAGAGACTGTCATTGTCAGGCCCGTCTGGGGCGCCCGATGCATCCCACGCAGAGACTGGTTGTCAGTCGTACTTGTCTCTTCTTCAAGGCCCGATAACCACTAAGAGACTGTCGGCTGTCGCGCCTGTCTCTGCGCTCCGATGCATCCCTACGCAGAGACCGTCGACGTTGCGTCCTTGTCTCTTCTGGCGCGCCCGATAAATCATGCTAAGAGACTGCTTCGTCATTGCGCTCCTGGTTCTCTGAAGTGCCCTGGATAACCCCATGGCAGAGACTGGCTGTCGTTGCGCCCAGTCTCAGTGCCCTGGGATACCCCAAGAGACCGTCGTCAGTCAGTGTCTATTCCCTAAAGGCCCGATAACCCACAAGCAAGAGACCATTGCCGTCAGTTCTGGTCTTCTAAGTGCCTGATGGGTCCTTGCCAAGAGACTGTCGCCTGCGTCTGTCTCAGTGCCTGAGCAATCCCATGGCAGATTGTTACAGCAGTTTGTGTTTGGTGTTTGAGGGCCTTTTAGAGTGGTAGAGAGAGAGGTTGTTGTTGTGTTTGTTTTTGGTGTTTGGAGGGCCTTATGGTAGAGAGAGGAGGAAGGAAGGAAGGAAGGAAGGAAGGAAGGAGGAAACACCAGGAACGTGGATTGATGTCTCGTGTGTAACTGTACCTTCTTACTGTCTTGTTTGTTTTGTTTGTTTTTGTTTGTTTGTTTGCTTGTGTTTGTTTTGATGTATGGTAGAGGTTGGTGCATTGCGTTTGGAGGCCAGACATGACAAGGGAGATTATGTGTGTGTGTGTGTGTGTGTGTGTGTGTGTGTGTGTGTGTGTGTGTGTGTGGAGTAATGTGTACATACATACTTTGACAAGGAATACATGTGTGCACGCGATTCTTACCTGTGTGTGTGTATGTGTGTGTGTCTGTGTGTGGTGGTTCTGGACCTATAGCCTTGATGCAGCTGTGGTGTTGTGCAGCTGGTAGAGGTTTGTGCAGCTGGTGGTGTTGGTCAGGTCGGGGTAACAGCTGTCTTAAACTGTTGGTATGGTCGGCTCCACATGGTATGGTCGGCTCCACATGGTATGGTTGTTCCACATGGTATGGTCGGCTCCACATGGTATAGTCGGCTCCACATGGTATGGTCGTCTGCACATGGTATGGTCGGCTCCACATGGTATAGTCGGCTCCACATGGTATGGTCGGCTCCACATGGTATGGTCGCTCCACATGGTATGGTCGACTCACACTAAGGGTCTAGGTTTGGCCCTTAGGTGTGGCCCTTATGTCGTCAGGGACCCCCCCCCTTAGCTCCTCCTACTGACGGTCAGGTGGAAGGTGTCAGGCTAACTGGTTATAATTGTAGTAGTAGTGGTGATAGTATTAGTAGTAGTAGTGATAGTAATAGCAGTAGTAATAGTAATAGTAGTAAAATTAGTAGTGAATAACCACGTCTCAAACAACTGGTCTATAATTGCCCTTCCCGGTATCACAACAGAAAGACGTAAGCATCATTTATTACTATTTATTAATTTTTACCTATGCTATAATGCCCAGGTAACTAATGAGCATTAATTAGGGAGCATTACCCACCTGTGTGCTATGGACACGAGCACCTAATTACAGGTGTTTTTATTTATTTTATTTATTTTATTAATCCTTGGCGAAAGAAAATCACGAATTTCTGTATTGATAACTGGCTCGTGGTAACTAATGGGGGATGGGGGATACAAGTCGGATTTTGTTAGAGAGATTTATGTAGGGATTAAGGGTGAAATTGCTTTGTTATTGTTGTAAGAGCGGTGATGGAGGGGGGATGGGGAGTTAAATGGGGTTTGATAAATGGGGTGTCAGGTGAGGGTCGAGGGGAATGGGTAAGTTAAATGGGGGTGTTAAATGGGGTTGTTAAATGGGGTTGTGGGTAATGGGGTGGTCACTGGTAGGGGCCAAACACCCTAGACACGCAGCACTGTCCTCGCTTCTTCCTTCACTTCTTCCTTCACTTCTTCCTTCACTTCTTCCTTCACTTTCTCCTTTCTTCCTCCCCTTCTTTTTCCTCCTTCCCTACTTCCCTTCTTTCCCTCCTTCTTTCCCTTTCCTCTCCCTTCACACACACACACACACACACACACACACACACACACACACTGCGCACTGTCTCTATCAATCAAAGAACCAACCAACATTCCTTGACACCAACACGACACCAACTACCACAATTACCACCATCACTACCATTCCTACTCCTACTACCACCATCACTCCTACTACTACTACCACCACCACCACCACTACCACCACCATTCCTACTCCTACTACCACCATTACTACCACCATTACTACCACCATTACTACCACCATTCCTACTACCACCATCACTACTACCACCACCACCACCACTACCATTCCTACTCCTACTACCACCATCACTACTACCACCACCACCACCACCACTACCACCACCACCACTACCATCTCACCACCACCACCACTACCATTCCTATCACCACCATCACTACTACCACCACCACCATTACTACCACCATTACTACTACCACAACTAACTAACCTAGTGTGTATATTAAGACCCTATGAGTATACTGGGAAATATATTGGTATATTATATTAATTATTGAAATATTCCTCAATTAAGATCTTTCTCAGTTATATTTCTTCAGCTAAAAAAAATATATAGAGTAATATAAAAAGATCAATAGTGTTTATTTAATAGATATGTCCGTCCGTCTGTCTGTCTGTCTGTGTCTGTCTGTCTGTGTCTGTCTGTCTGTTGTCTGTCTGTCTGTGTCTGTCTGTCTGTTGTGTTTGGTTGTCTGTCTGTCTGTCTGTCTGTTTGTCTGTCTGTCTGTCTGTCTGTCTGTCTGTCTGGGGAGGTGGAGAGGAGAGGGAGGGGTGAGAGAAAGATGGGAGAAGAGAGAAAGTGAGAGGGAAAAAGATGAGAGGGGGAAACATGGTGAGAGAGAGAGAGAAGAGAGAGAGAGAGAGAGAGAGAGAGAGAGAGAGAGAGAGAGAGAGTCTTATCCCTAATGTTAACACCACGATCAAACAAATTTAACATCGGTGTTGCTTTTAACTAAATTATGTTAAGTGTTCCTCTGAATGTTGTTAAAAACAGACATAAAGCGCTTAATTCTTAGAGACGGTGTTTTAATGTAGATTGTGGTGTTTTAATGTAGATTGTGGTGTTTTAATGTAGATTGTGGTGTTTTAATGTAGATTGTGGTGTTTTAATGTAGATTGTGGTGTTTTAATGTAGATGCTTACACTGAACCACTGAATCACTAAACCTCCTGTGTGTGTGTGTGTGTGTGTGTGTGTGTGTGTGTGTGTGTGTGTGTGTGTGTGTGTGTGTGTGTGTGTGTGTGTGTGTGTGTGACCAGGGACGCTACAGTGTTGTCAAAACCCTGCCTCCCTTCCTCCCTTATATCTCCCTTTCTCCCTCTCTCCCTCCCCTTTCCCCTCTCCCTCCCTTTCCCCTCTCCTCTCATCTCACCCCCTACCCCTTCCCTATCCCCTACCCCTTACCCCCTCACAGTTGATGGGAAAGATGTCCACAGATAAAGGAGTGTTCCTCTCTCTCTCTCTCTCTCTCTCTCTCTCTCTCTCTCTCTCTCTCTCTCGGCCAGCCTTTGTTCACAGTGTTCTTATGTGACGTCTTTTATCAGGCTTTGTGTGTGTCCAGCCTTTTATTGATTCTGTCTGCCCGTTTGTCTGTTTACCGTCTTCTTGTTACCTCCTGCTTTATTGCCTTATCTCTCTCTCTCTCTGTCTACCTCTGTTCTCTCTCTCTCTCTCTCTCTCTCTCTCTCTCTCTCTCTCTCTCTCTCTCTCTCTCTCTCTCTCTCTCTCTGTGTCTGTCTATCTGTCTCTCTCTATCTATTTCCTCTTTCTCTGTCTCTCTTCCTCCTCCTCCTCCTCCTTTTCTTCCATCTTCCTCCCTCTCTCTCTTCTCCCCTTTTCCTCTTCTCCTCCTTCCCTATCTCTTCTCCTCTGTCCTCCTCTTCCTGCCTCTCCCCCTTCCCTTCTCTTCCCTTTCTTCCCCTTCCTTCTCTCTTCCCCTTCCCTCCTCCCTCCCACCAAACAGCTGTTACCTTCCACATAAATAGATTCTTCCTTTCCATTTCCGTGTTGGGAGCATCATTGCCTGTGTCACCTCTTCCATCTTCCTCTTGAACCACTGACCCCTCCTCCTCCTCTTCTTCTTCTTTTCTTCTTCTTCTTCTTCTTCTTCTTCTTCTTGTTTTATCACTTCTAGTCTCTCTCTCTCTCTCTCTCTCTCTCTCTCTCTCTCTCTCTCTCTCTCTCTCTCTCTCTCTCTCTCTCTCTCTTTCTCTCTTTTAGAAGGCCATAAAGTCTGGCCGCACCAGCTGA